CTTGAACCAGAAGATACGGCTGTGTTCAGAATTGACCAACTACTCAGTTTTTAACAAAAAGTAAAACTAGATTGTTTTCCAAAAAAGCCACACAGAACCAAATCTGAACCCTTTTGCTCCAATTTACATTTACAGAGGGTCTATTTCAACGTGTTTTCTTTGTATTATCCATCCCGAAGATGCCAAATTCTGATCCGATTCCCCCGCCCGCCCCCCGTTTGATGCCACCACCACTCATATCGCAATGGCGCCACGAAGCTGTCACATGAACTTGAAGCACGCGCTGCAAATCCAGCCTCGGCGTTGCCGTTTTTCTGCCGCGTGAGCGCACGTTTGGTCCTGACGCAACGGCCGTTGGTACGCTTGAATGTCGCGGGCAGACAATACTGCGCCATATTGTTCAACGAATGTCGATTTATTTTTTCTCTTGAGTCAAATCAAATGAAAGTGTACAAAGGGGATGCTGCGTCGTGCGTGACGAAGACAGTCGTCCCGAATCGCGAGCAACCTCGAACCCCGAAAGATAAAACGAGACTTTCATGGAAACCTACAAAGTAGTTCACAGTTACTGACACGTCGTACAAGAACGCCCACTGGCCAATCACAGCACAGCACTGAGCGGGGCGTCACGACATTGACTTCAGGGCGGTATTGCATTTGATTTATTGTTTGTTTTTTTTGTTGTTTTTTTTCAGTCATAGATAAAGGGATCGTAACTATTACGGAAAATAGCTGCATAGTTAAAAAAAAAAAAAAAACAAGATGACTATCAAGCAGAGGTAGGCAAACCTAAAAGTAGCATGTCATATTCAATGCAAATCTTGCTACATTCAAATCATGAGAATCGGAGAACACTCAATCATGCAGTACGTGCTTGACAACATGTGCTATTTACATATGTAAAAGATGCAACTCATATTCACCTTAGTGTGTATGGAAGGGGGAACAAAAGCCTGAAGAATTGAGTCTCGAATCCTTCAGGAAGGGGGCGCGGTGGGGGGGACAGGTTGAGTCCGTGCTTTATATTTTAATTCGTCAGCATCCGGTCAGTGAGCTCACATCCGGTTTCGTGTAGTTTGCAGGGGTTGCCATCTTATCTTTACAAGTCTCTGTTAGGACACAAAAAGAAATTTTTTGAGCAAGGCAGGGCACAAATGTCGGGTCAACGTAGCAAGAAATCATGAAAAGAAAAAAAATGCAAAGGTCAATTGATAATGGTTTTAAAAAAATGTCATCTGGCGACACGGTATGTCAAAATAACATTTGCCGTGATGCTAAAAAATGCGACGCTAACATACGGCAACTTGGCCAAGATCGCAACCTGCCCACAAAAAGTGCCATGACCGATTGTACTGTCATGCACTTTTTCCAACTTTTAGTTCACCCGACTTTGCCCCACCGTTGACTCAATTCAACCATAAATCGATGAACAAATACCGTATTTTCCGCACTAAGAGGCACACTGGATTTTGAGGCGCATCTTCAATGAATGGTCTATTTTTAAATCGTTTTCATAGATTGCACGCACTGGAATATAAGGCGCAATACAATGCATCCACTAGATGGAGCTACAGGTACGTCTTTGTCCTCTCCGTGCCTTCTCTTCTCCCGTTGGACTCGAGAGGCGTTCATGACCGCCTCCAAAAAAACGAAATGAACGATTACTTCAATAAAACTACGAAATTTGAAAATACAGTAATGCATCACAACAGAAAATCACAAAATAAATTATATAGCCCCCCCGACAGAATTTATTTTGGCATTTCCTTGAGCGTAGCTGCAACAGAACGATCAGATATCCGTAAATTGGAGGAGACTGGACTGTCTCAGAAAGTGTTTGTTATTTATTCCTTTGTTGTGTACTGTATTCACAAACGAGGAAATCACAAAATAAATTCTGTAGGGGGGGGCTGTAGAATTTATTTTGTGATTTCCTCGCTTGATTTTTCTGTTTCGATGCGTTATTTTCAATTTTCGTAGTTTCATTGAAGAAATCGTTAATTTACGTTTTTCCGAGGCGGTCATGAACGCCTCTCAAGTCGAACGGAAGAAGAGAGACGGACAAAGACGTACCTGTATTCGTTGAGACTGTGAAAACCATTCATAAAATGTGCGTTTAAAAAAAAAAAAACAACACCGCAGCTCTCCTTTTTTCAGAGCTGCAACAAAATCGTATTTAATTAAGAAAGCAGCGACACAGTTCACTGAACCAACAGCAAGTTAGAACATTGTAAGCATGTCTCCAGCGAGGAGCCATCTTGGGGTCGACGTATTACCGTAACGACCATACACAAGGCGCACCGGATTTTAAGGCGCGCTGTGAGCTTTTAAGAAAATAGAAGACTTTTCGGTGCGCCTTATAGTGCGGAAAATACAGTCGGCAAATCATATCAATTCAACCAAGTTGATGAAATGATTGGTGAATATGTCATTCTAATTCAAATCACAATCAACATCCTTGAGTATTACATCCGGTATTTATTTGCTATTTCATTGATGCAATTGACGCAAATGAGGATAAGGAAATGGCCGGTACAGCAACGGGCGAGTTGTTGTGCTCCGTTTGTAGCGCGTTACTCTCAACATTGACGAGAAGAGGAATCGTGGACGGCGCGCACATGGCTCGGAATTGAATTAGCCCCTCCTCCCTCTCTCCGAGATTGAGTTTTGAGAGGTGCTCTCGCTCTACTTTGGATAGCTTTTGCTGGTGAGCGCGTTATTTGACAAATCAGTGCCGCTCGCCGCAGGGCTTCAAGGGGCCATTGGCTTGTCAGAGGCTAAAAGGGGAAAGAAAGAAAGAACGAAAGTAAAGCAAAGCGGGGCCAAGCAGACTCACCGGAGCCAAACTAAGTGGCCCATTTGGGTGTTGTTGTTTTTTCTTGACATTCGCATGAGCTCGGTGAGGAAAATTATCTGGACAAAGTGCAGTTTTGCAAGGAAATGACTCGGAGGACGTCGAGCCGTCCGATTGGAGATGGGGGAAGTCTGGCTTGGTTCCCCAAAAAGCCCTTTTGGGGGAGGGGAAGCCTGGAAACCACTTCAGTGCCGATTTTTAGCAGCTTGCCAACACAATACAGCTAATGGCCGGCTTAAACTTAAACTTAAAATGTTGAAGCTTTATTTTCATGGTCTGTGCTGTGGCGTCAATGTCGCTGGATCCTGATTGTCATCGCGCAAGGTTCGCTGTTTGCCAGTTTTACAGAATGGCCTCCACGAAAGTGGACAGGCCACAGCGGAAGGAATGTCTTGAAGACGCGCTGGGCTGAGTCACAATTTGGCAGCAGAAAGTTGATCGAAACCTTCCGCAGGGCGGACGGCCGGTCGAACGCAAACTATTTCATTCATTAATACTGGAACAGCAGACACTCTGGACTATTTGACGATATGGTTGAAATCATTGTAGTGTGGCGGCACACGAATGATTGCGGGTAGGGAGGGCCACTTCACGACGCGAGTGTGCTTCTGCCATGTCGAGACGGCGGTGCACAAAGAATGCACTTAAAGGGAAAGAAAGTAGCTGCTTTGATTGGCCGTGATTGAAGTCAGGTGTGACCACCCCCATTGCGGCGCAGCCCTCCCTCTCGCCGGCGTGCGTGTGTCTAACCTGCCTCCGTTCCAACGCATCATCCCCCCGTGCAGGATTTAAATCGAGGCCTGTCTCTGGTAGTCTGTGTGCCTCTAATTTAGCATAATTTAGCATATGATATTTACGTGGCGCATGAGCCTCTCGTGGAACATTTTCGACCAGAAGTAATGCCAAATAATGACAATCTGATGTGAAATAACGTATTTCTCCCGGCATTTGTGCTGCGCGGTGCGGTAAGTCACCGTAGTGGACGCTGGGCTCTCCGGGCGTGAGCAGGAAGCAGGCGGCTTCGTTCTTGGTCCGATCTCTGGGCCGCGGGCACCGCAGGGACCATTTTTCACTGGGGGACAGAGGCTGCGTCAGGCTGCAGCCTTCCTCCTCGGAAAGGGCCACGTTTGCGTCGCCGTTATGTTTGGAGTCTGACAGCACCGCACACACACACAAAAAAATAAAATGAAAATACCGCCAGACAAATGGCAAGGCTTTGACCCGCTGCCCCCCCCGCAAGCGATGACTGCATCAGGCCCGCCTGAGAGCAAACCTCGTTCTGCAACAGACTCAGAACACAACTAACGCAGCATATCAGTGTCAGATTTCATGGTCTGTGAATCTGTTCGTGCTGAGTAATGATTCGACTTCAAATGGACATCTATCGCAACGCAATCGCAACGCAAGAGCAGAAGAAGATGTGTCAATTAATTCATTGATAGGGAGGCCCGGTGGGCCTGTGTTTAGCGCGTCGACCTCACAGCGCAGAGGTCGTGGCTTCGATCCCGGCTGTGTGGAGTTTGCATGTTCGCCCCGTGCCTGCGTGGAGTTTCTCCGGGTATTCTGGTTTCCTCCCACATTCTAAAAAACAGGCATGGCAGGTTCATGGAACATCGCGGTGTGAGTGCGAGCGCGAATGGTTGTTGGTCTACGTGTGCCCTGTGATTGGCTGGTAACCAGCTCAGGGTGTTCGCCGCCGACTGCCCGGACGGAGACAGCTGGAAGAGGCTCCGGCACGCCCGCGACACCTCTGCGGAATAGAAAATGGAGGAATGGCAATACTTTGGTACGCCTTGGCAAACAGGAGGTAGTTGACTTCCCCAAGGACTTGATTTTCTCTCAGGTCAATCGCTCTTGTGTTGAGCTGTTCTGCTCGAGGGGTTTGGAACCCATTCTCGATGTTCGGTGGCGATGGTGAAAGCAGCCCATCTTCATAACTTTGCATTTGCAGCCGACTTCTTCTCTGCGTAATTGCACGCAAACAAAAACCAGCGAGACACGCAGTGCTCGGTGATATTTTGTGTCCGGTCTGAACCTCGCATGATGACGATAAATCGATCAAATAGACAAAAGGCACAATTAAAATAAGCTATTTGACAAACAACGCTTCACGAATGGTCCCAAAAAAATAAAGAAATAAAAAAAACGTTATCTGCAGACCTCATCACCGAGAGCGGCGGTCTGACCTGCTCGGCCGTCGTCGGCCGCCAGCGGGCACGTGTCGCTCTGAGTGCTTTCCCTGCACGAGTTGCTGTCCGACTTCCCGAGCGACGGCGAGTCGGGATGCGCCTCGGGATTGGGGTTGTGCTTATTCTTCTTCTTGGGCAGCTTCTGCTTGGCCATGGCCAGCGAGTAGTACATCCCAAAGTTGTTGACGATGACCGGTACGGGCATGGCGATGGTCAGCACCCCGGCCAGGGCGCACAAGGCGCCCACCATCATGCCCAGCCACGTTTGCGGGTACATGTCGCCGTAGCCCAGCGTGGTCATGGTGACCACGGCCCACCAGAAGCTGATGGGGATGTTCTTGAAGTGCGTGTGGTGGGCGCCGGTGGGGTCGTGCGGGCTGGCCCCGATCCGCTCGGCGTAGTAAATCATGGTGGCGAAGATGAGAACTCCCAGAGCCAGGAAGATGATGAGCAGCAGGAACTCGTTGACGCTCGCCCGCAGCGTGTGGCCCAGCACGCGCAGGCCCACGAAGTGGCGGGTCAGCTTGAAGATCCGAAGGATGCGCACGAAGCGCACCACCCGCAGGAAACCCAGCACGTCGTTGGCCGCCTTGGACGACAGGCCGCTCAGCCCCATCTCCAAATAGAAGGGCAGGATGGCCACGAAGTCGATGATGTTCAGCGAGTTCTTGATGAACAGCAGCTTGTCCGGGCAGCACGCGATCCGCACCAGGAACTCAAAAGTGAACCACAGCACGCAAACGCCCTCCACCAAGGTCAGGACGGGCTTGGTCACCATCTCCAAGCGCTGCTCGCTTCGGGTCACGTTGCCCACCAGCACCAGCTCCGTACGGTTCTGGAGCTCGTTGAAGGCCTCGTGGGTCTCCAGGCAGAAGGTGGTGATGGACACCAGGATGAAGAAGAGGGACGCCAGCGCCACCCCCTGGTGAGAAAACATCGCACGACAGTTCTTCAGCGCTGCCTCGCAAAAACCTTTTCAGAATGTTTGTCAACAAAAAGGTGCCAGGGACGCATCAAAAGGGCGCGCTACGCAGGCAGCTATTCTCAAAGTGCAGCACAAATACAATGATAGGCATGTCTGCCTCCCTCTAGTGGTTGGTCGAAGAATAACTGAATTAAAGTTTTTTTTTCCCCATTATTTCTGTTACATATGTACAGTTCAGTTGAGTTGAATGTTTGATATTTTTCATGTTATTGATGTATTTATTTTCAGTTGTTTGTTTTCAAACTTTTTTTTTCTTTTTAGAATTGTTTGTTTTCAAACTTTTTTTTTTTTTTTTTAGAATTGTTTGTTTTCAAACTTTTTGGAGAGGTCAAATTTTCACGTGCAATCCATTTTGATTTAATCGTTATTTAAGAAAATGTTCCTCTGCATTTCCGCGCAGCTATTGGTCCATACGAACGAAGCAATTGGAACCCCCTGTGGAGACTGACGTGTCGGGCTGGACAATTAATTGAATGCAAATTGACAGTGCAGTGTAGCAGAAAGCAAATTTCAAATCGCAAAGGCCGAAATTTTGGAGAAAAAAAAATTGCTCCATTTCGGCCGCTCGCTAGGCTTTATTTTTTATAATGTAAGTATACTTTATTGATCTATACGGTGTCCACATGCTGTAAGCGCAGCACCTGTATTGTCTGTATTCTTAAATCATTGTTTTTACATGAAAAAAATAATCACATATTAAATTGCAAGGAAAAAAAAAATCCACATTTTCAAAATTGTTCAGCCCTTCTGCAACAATGTGTCTGGCTTCATGAATCTCCCTGATGGAACCCCCGACTACTACTACTTTTTTTATGGGGGGGGGAGCTTCATGATCCTTCTTGCCCGTGAACCCCGAGGGGGTCTAGAAATGCCCCCCGGCCACGTTAAGTGATTGACTCCCGCTTGGGTTGCATCACTCACATAAAATGTAAATTAGAGAGCGGATTCTGTTTTCCTTGGAAACGACGGCAGCATCTTTTGAACTGACACCTCCGCACATTCCAACCGCAGCAGAAGAGAAGAAGGCTACAAGTGTCCATTCATTCATTTCCTGCCTTTTCTCAATCAGTCTGCCTTGGCTTCGTGTCATCCAAGGGTTTGCTTCCTCTCTTGGCGGCCAAAGAGCGAGCGTCCCCAACAATGTTGAGCGTGTCACATCATGCGAAGCATCAGAAACAACAAGTGAGTCACACGGTTGCTTTTTTCAATGAACGACATGGCAGCCAGTCAAGGGACTGAATGAACACGTTTGCTTTAACGTCGTAAGCAGCCTGTCGTCAGTGTTTACTAAAAGCCTCAACTAATTGTATCTCCCTCACTAAATAAATACTCCCACAGCTGGATAAATATGTCTGCCGTGTGTGTGTGTGTGTGTGTGTGTGTGTGTGTGTGTGTGTGTGTGTGTGTGTGTGTGTGTGTGTGTGTGTGTGTGTGTGTGTGCGTGCGCGCATGTCCTATGAATGTGTTTACACATCGTGCAGTAAGTCATCTCCCTTTTAGGATGAAACTCACCACCGCTTTCGGGTCAAGTTCGGCAGTGTGTGCGTTATAATGCACGGATTCATTGTGTTCCTCGAGGTACCGTTTGAGTGCGCGAGCAAAGAGTAGCCAGACATTAAAAAAAAAAAAAAAAAATTAAAAAAAGGTTACCAATCAGTTTTGTTTTTTTTTTTTGTTTTTTTTTTTGTACACACCTAACGTTTGGCCAAAAAGAATGACTTTTCCAGCGATTTAGGGAGCGATTAGCATTGAACTCCCTTAATTATTTCAACGGCAACTCCTTTTTAAATTGGTCAGTGTGGTGCCAAAAATGAATTTGAATTTAGGCCCATTCCAAAATGATAAGTTCATGTTTGAAACAATTTTTTTGATCATGCTCCAATATTTTAAACTCATCATGAATATGTTAAAGCCCAGGTTTTAATGATTTATTTGTTTGTTCTTTGTTTGTTTTTTATGGGATTATTTGTCGGATAGTCTGATCTCATTTTCGGTCGAGCTAAAAGTGTTTTACTGTCGGACTTTTATTTTTGTCACTTGGCGGTAAAAGTCCACATTTTCGTTTTTGCGCTTCCGAAGTCTGTTCCTCTAAATCAAGATGATTAAGAGTGAAGAAAGTCTTCTCTGATCAATCCCATTCCAAATGAACATTCCCAGTCTTTCTTTGAAGGAAGAGCGCTTGTCTCACATGAACTGTTGACAAATTCAGCAAGCTGGAGTCATCTGTGTCACCTCCAGTAAAAGTTATTTTCGACTAAAAAAATGAGAAGCTTTCTGGGTGTTATGAACGCATTCAGCCATACAGGCCGATGAAAACAACCTTCAGTCTGACAAAGTCAAAGAAGCTAGCAATTCGGTGAGCTAGCAACTTGGTGAGCTCGCAACTCGGTGAGCTAGCAACTAAGTGAGCTAGCAACTCGGTGAGCTAGCAACTCGGTGAGCTAGCAACTAAGTGAGCTAGCAACTCGGTGAGCTAGCAACTAGGTGAGCTAGCAACTAAGTGAGCTAGCAACTCGGTGAGCTAGCAACTAGGTGAGCTAGAAACTAGGTGAGCTAGCAACTCGTGAGCTAGCAACTAAGTGAGCTAGCAAGTCGGTGAGCTAGAAACTAGGTGAGCTCGCAACTCGGTGAGCTAGCAACTATGCGTTTGCATCCAAGAATAATGACACCAACGTGAGCATGCGTGCTCTCGAACACCCACTTTGTTGCAGCTGGCAAAAATCACTCGAAAGGAGGTGGCCTACTCCAGCGGAGGGCCGCCTCCCCTCGCTCTTTATCTTCAATTATAAGCAATCAGCAAAGCAAAATATGTCACACAAATGTGAAAGAGATTCACTCGGCCATGGAATCAGAAGGCCTGTTACCTGTGTCTGAAAACATGATATTGAAGACTCTGCTATTTCTGCTACCAATTGCGCAATCTGAAGCGAGGCTGGCTGCTTGCTAGCGCCCCTTTCCGTCTCACCCTTATATGTCCCCTGACCGCATGTCTCCTGTGAGTGCATGTGTGTACGTGCGAGCAAATGAGAGAGTGATCACACTTCACCGGTGGAAACTTTAAACATGTTGAAGAGATTTATTAGGATGACCACTGCAAAGCGTTGTTACCGCCACCACACACACACACACACACACACACACACACACACACACACACACTCAGAGCTCTTTCCATTTGTCCGCCGGGCCCGTGGATCTGATGCAGACGTGCTTTCTGATGCACTTTGCTGCGGTCGAATAGCAGATGCAGAGCCAGGCCAAATGTGAATTGTCATCTTATTTAACGGTCTGTGTACCCACCAACCTAACACATTTACATCATATTTAATGGTCCGCGCACCTCTCACGTTCCTTATTCACAACACTGCACCTCTTGAGCACGCGGAAGAACTATTTGGCAGCTCGCCTGAGAAGCTAGCATAGCAATCTACTCATGCACTCAGTGCTCCTCCTCGTCAAACATCCAAAGCACACCGCACGAGTCACAACAAAATGCACTCATGCTAAGTTCACTTCTCGCTAGCTGATTTCAAAGATTCAGTTTTTAATTCGCGCCCTTTAACGCGACATCTCTTGCGTAAATGGAATCAAACGTTCTTATTTGTGCAGCAATGAGCTGAAAGGAAATGCCTGAAATGTGAACAAGTTCAAGGTTGCTGACGGAGAAAAAGTCCACTAAAAGCTCGCTGAGCTTTTCTGCCATTAGCGTGTACATTAAATGCTACTTACGCGTGAAGGCATTCGCCAAGAAAGTGCTACAAGGACTTGGGACATTTCTCTGCACTCTGAAAATGGTTCGCTTTTTCGCTGATCCCGCTGATAAAATGATGACAGCTGTAGCTCAGCTCAAGCGAGCGGTCAAGGATTTGCATTTTGTTTTTCAGCCTTTTAAAACATTCCCCTGTGTGTTTGTGACATGATTTTGTCAATACCACCAAAATAAAGAATACAAATATATACGGTCAAACCTCGGTTTTCGAACGTCTCGGTTCTCAAACAATTCGGTTTTCGACCAAAAATTTCGAGTTTTTTTATGCGTCGGATGACGAACAAATTTCGGTTCTCGAACGAACTGAGCGCACTTGAATGCGCCATTTGACTCCTCTCGCCTTCGTTACACGAGGAAGTGACGCTTCCTCGTGTTGCTTTCCATTGTAAGCAGACGTGTTCAGTAAACATTTTTATTTTAAAAACAGCGTGGTTTCGGTTTTCGAACAATTTCGGTTTTCAAACAGCCTTCTGGAACGGATTATGGACGAAAACCGAGGTTTGACTGTATATTTTTTTTTTTCTGTCCATCCATTTTCAAATGTGCTTATCATCATTTGGGTCACGGGCGAGCGATCTAGCTATCTTGCTAGCTAGCTAGCTAGCTATCCATCTGTCTCTCTAATTTTAAAAACATAAAAATGATCACAAGTAGACATTCTCTTCCAATATTATTCCTGTTCTGGTGTTTGTGCTTCAGCTGCAACTTGTGTGCGCCTGTGAGGGTAGGGAGGGCGGGATGAATCTTTCACTGACTTGTGCGTTAGGTTAGAGTTCGTATACGTTCTCGGGTATTTACAAGCGTGACCGCGTTCGATTGCATTGATATAATACAGGCCAAGTGCGAAAAAGCGAGCATTTTTTCCCATAATGCCACGGGGGATTGATTTGCGCATGCGCAAGTTCCATGTTAGCTGGGATTTTACTTCCTACAGTTTGACACTTTTGGACAATGAGAGCGCGAATGGTCATTCGTCGGTGTGTGCGCTGCCATTGGCTGGCAAGCAGTTGAGGGTGTCCCCCGCCTCCTGCCCGGAGACAGCTGGGAGGGGCTACGGCACGCCCGCGGCCCTCGTGAGGAGAAGCGGATTACAAAACGGATGATGGGTGGATCATCGCACATACCTCGGGTCAAATTGACCATGAGCCATTATTGCCGTTCTCGTGAATCAAAATCTATCTGTTGTTTGAGCAACATGATATGTATTATACTGTATTTGTATTCATGAGATTATATACGATCTCATGACTTCTTCTTTTGAGAGTGAATATTAAAATCAATTCATTTAAAATCGGGAGGGGGAGGGTGCAATTATAAAACAGCTTGAAAAGTGTTTTCCTCGCCAAAATACCGGGATTATAATCGAGTTTGAAATGGTCATTCTCAACCTTGGGGATATTATTGTTGGGGGGGAACCCCCCCTCACTGTTGTTCAGCAACATGTGTCTCTGCCCAAACTCACCCTGGCCGCTTTGGAGGAGTAGGGGTCGTCAAAGAGGGCCCAGATCTTGGGCTGCCAAACTTCGCAGCAGCCCCTGGACCTACCCGGACACTCCTCGATGCCGAAGCGCCGCGGCGCTTCGCCGCCGTCCGCG